CAGGCAATTTTCTGGGAGGAATACCTTGCTTGATAAATAGTGTTTTCTATTGAATTTAGACTAGCAATTCCAGTTCAAAAAAGACCTTAGTTTGCATATGTTTACACATATTTGTTCATGTATATTAAGGGAATCCAGTGAACCTCAGTAGAAAGGGGTTCCTTATGTAAGAGGCCTCTTCACTTTCTCTGATGTGTAAAACAATTTGCCCAGAAACATGAAAGCAGACCAATTTTTAAGAAGGAGCTTCAGAAAAACAAAAAAACCCAGAATTTATTCCTTTCTACTCCTATTAACAATAGACTGACATTTTGAAAGGCAGTTCAAAATAAGTTTAAAAAAATATCTAGAAATAGACCACCTGTTAGCTATTGTTAGTTCAATATGAATCTTCACATTTTTATAGTCCAATCCTCTTCACTGAAATAGAATTGCTGCCCTAAGAAATCCTATTTAACAGTCAACACAATTCTTTTTCTGCTTTTCATTCTTTGATGTTATAATAAAGACAAATATCTGACATTTTTGAGAGCCTACTATTTGCAAGTATTGTTCTAAGTGCTTTGACTAAGCAAGACCAATGAACCTTGGTCCATCTTCCCTAATGTCTGAAGTTTAGATTAGTCTGTGATATCAAGTGACTTGATCCCTCATAAAGTTTATCATGAGCAAGTTTATGAGCAGTTGCAATAAATCAGTAAATTGGTACTTTAACCTAAAGTTTTGTTCAAAGACACATTGAAGAAGCTCCCTCACTGGAATATACGTTCCTAGAGGGCAGGAACCTTGTCTCTCTTGATCTCTACCATATTCCCTATGCTTAGAAAAGTGTTCTGCATGAAGTACATGCTTGGGAAAGTCTACTGAATGAAGTGAATGAAATAAGTGTATCACAAATGTGCAAACTCCTGAAAGTTATAAAGTTGACCCAGGTTCCTTGTTTCTTTCTGTCACTGCATATTCAGTGCAAAGGAATTAGATGTACATTTAATAAAAGAAAAGGAGATAAATCAATGACTAGTCTTTAAATGCTAAAGGACCTTTCATATTTGGATTTCAAAGCATAATCCCTTTGGTTTTATTATTGTTGAGGCTTGTCCTTGGTCTACCACAGCATATCACTAACAAATTCAAGCCATCGAATTTTCATCTACTATTGAAGCTACTACTATGGAAAGAAAAAAAATCTTGCTGAACAATAGGGACATCTGCTGGTAAAAATGTAATGCTTCATTTTAGCCTTAACATGCTGCATCTAGATGGACAAGATTTGATCAATAAAGTTTGAAGTTAACACCAAACATGTGACATTGTTTCTTCTACCAAAGTAATAATAAAAGGTAACATTATCTTTTTCCAAAGATGTCCAAGTAGTGACACTATCTGAAACAGAGCCCTCCTGTAGTCAGTAACTATTGCCAAAGAACAGAATTGACTAGTTGCCTGATCTTGTGGCTTAAGACCCTTAATTATCTTTGATCTCAACAAACATTTAAGTGTCTATTAAATTAAGGTACTGTGCCATATGCTGGCAAACAGGAGCTATAAGACAAGACGGAGGTGGCAGATGGCCCAGCCATTTCTGGACATGTAGATCTTCAGCCTTAGAGGAGTAGTATTAAACTCAATTAATGTCTGAGAGAGACTGAGCCTACCATCTACCAAAGCTGTGCTCTGACCATTTCATTAATATTATGTAAACCAGTTGCTTTCTACAAACACACTCTTTCCCACATTAGCTGGATAAATATCCTCCTATCCTTCACCCCCTATAGAGTGATTTTTTCTCTGCTTTCCAGTCTCTGCTCAGGTATCTTCTCAGAAAGCCCTGCTTTGAACTCCCTGTGTTAAGTTCATTTTCAGAGCACTCAATTTGTGTCCTTCTTAGAACTTATAAAAACTGGCAATTATTTATTCATTTACTAATACCTCATCCCTTTCCTTTCTGCACCAGATTATAAAGGTACAGGTCTTTGAATCTAGGTTCATCCATTCTCCCAATTTTACTAAAGTAACTTAATTGTTTTGTTTTACACAGAAATTTCAAGGGCAGAATGAAAACTTATCCTCTCTTGCTCTGAGTATCTGAATCTTAGTTCTCTATTCCCTAACTGGAAAAGAAACCAATTTTTGTTAATGTTCCATTAATAGGTCTCATTAAAAATCTATTGCACAAGAAAAAGAAGTGAAGAGGGGATGGAGAAGTAGTGACCAGGTTGAAAGATTAAAGTAATGTGGAGATGAGATACTGACCCAAACAGAGGGCAGGAACAACGTTATAGATGGAGTACCATACACCCCAGAGAAAAGCCTAGAGGAGTAGTCTGAAACATAAGAGGGCTTGGAAAAGCCTGATGTGGGGGGCTACCTAGAGACAGTTTGTACATTCCTCTATTAGCATAGGAAATCTCCATCAGCTCTTCGGAATTTTTGGAAGGCCTTCCAGTGTATACCCATCAGCATATTAATAGGACTCAGACACTGTGTAGGAAGAAAATGGAATACTCAGTAATTATATTTTTCATTTACTTTGAACAAAAGCCCTTGCAAACATCTTTTTTCTTAATTGTACCATTTAGGACATGAAAAAATTATGAAATACGAGCCTATCTCTCAGTACTTGAAACACTTTTGCTTTAATATACCATTCTTTCATAAAAGAAAGGCAATTCCATCTGTATTCTATCACTGATGAGGTTTGTGAAAGTATTATACAAAATCTGGAGTTCAATGAAGTTAATCATAACCAGCAGATACAGCTAATACCACTACTGTGCTGTAAATACTTTTACAACATAACAACTTCTATTTGGGACAGAATTATTTCTCATAATTTTTCTACAACATATTTAATTCCTAATTAGGCAAATCCTAGGATAATATTGAAAATATCGTGCATTTCCCTTCCCTATTTGGATGTCTTTCAGTTTTCTTGCCTAATTGCTCTGGCTAGGACTTTCAATATTATGTTAAATGGTAAGAATAGACATTCTTGTCTTGTTTCTGATCTTAGAGCATCACCATTCACGATAATGTTAGATGCAGGCTTGCCATTTTTTGGCCCTTATTATATTGAGGTAGTTGCCTGTATGCCAACTTTGTTGAGAGTTATCATAAGTGGATATTGAATTCACTGTACTAAATTAATATTGTAATGGACTTGTCCTCCCCAAGTAAATGCCAATGGACCTTGGGAAAGGTTGTTACGAAAGAAACTCACCCAGAAAGGGAGAATTAACTATAAGGATTCACTTGACGTTTTTAGGGAATTACAGCAAGATTTTGCAGAAGAGAATGGCCAGCCAGACTATAATTTAGATATCACTCTCTTATGCCTTAGTGAGAAAGAAGCCTGTATGATTGTTTTTTGAAAAATGTGGCTAATTAGGAACCACTTCCTCATAGATGTAAACAATTTTACATATGTAATTATTTCATAGAACTGCTCTTTGAGTAGCTTGCTTTTCTGGTTCAGGGGTTTATTAGTTTACATTTTAAGTACTCACTGCATATGTCAGGCTCTATGCAAAGCATGTTGTCTACATTATTCTGGAAGATAGATTTCATTATTTCAATTTTTTAAAGGCAAATGAAGCTCAGAGAGGTGTGATACCATACCCACTACTGAACAGTAAAGCCAAAATTCACACTCAGGTCTGACTCTAACATCTATACCACACTAGTCCTGACTCATGGCTTTGCTTACATATCACTTATGTTCTTATTTAAAAATTGAAAGATGCAGCAAGATGCAGAGAGTAGCACAAGTTGGTAATAAAGTTAGACACAATAAAATGTCAATTCTGGCATTTATTTTTGGAAATTGGCAATGTCCATCTTGCAGTTCAGTAGAATTTGGAAACTGATTGTAATCATGTTTTCATTATAAAATGACTGTTACCGAAACTTATTTTATGAGCTGCAGAAGGATAGTTCAAAGTATAGGCTCTGGAGCTGAGGCTTCAATTGTTACCCTACCACTTATGTACTGTGTGCCCTTGGACATATTCCACTTCTTTTTGGTTATCTAAAATGGGATTCATCTGTACTAACAGTACTGATCTTTTGGCATTTGTGAACAGCAAATGAGTGTAATATATGTAAAGTATTGAATTGACACATAAGTGCTCGAAAAATGTTAGCTCATGTTATCCACATCCAAAGGATTATTTTAGCCCTTTCTTTCTTTTTAAAACTAGACTTCATTTGGGGGAAGGCTAGGGACTGCAATTTAAGATTCACAGTAAAACTGAGGGAAAGATACAGATTTCCCCTATACCTCCTGCCCCACACATGCATAGCCTCACCCAATCATCAATATCCCCAAGAGTAGTACGCTGGTTACAAATTATGACACAAAATTTGACATGTCATTAACACTGTAAGTCCATTGTTTTACATTAGGGCTCACTATCAGTGGGGTATACAGTCTATGGCTTTTGATAAATATACAATGGCAGGCACCTACATGTTATCAATCTTCTCTAAAAGCGCCCCAGGTAACTGAAGGGCAGCCAGCGTGGAAAAGCAGTGCTTTAAGACTGACTGCACTACTACAAAGACGCATCTTCCTACACTCACAAAAGATACATTTCACCAAGAACCGCATCACACCTCACTTTGAGCGCCTGCTGCAAGCGAGGCCAAATGTGAAGGGGCGGACACAAAATTTCAGTCTCTCGTGCATCCACACCCGCCTCCCAGGCCCGAATTATTATGAAACTCGTTCCGCGGGGTCCAACTGTCCCCGGAGCTAGAGGGACCAAGCTATACCAAAGAAAGAAGGTCCTCCTTTATAGCATCAGCAAAGGGTTGCTCGGGACCGAAGTTTCCTAGCAGAAGGAAAGACCACAAAACCGCCACATAGACTGGAAACGATGCTCCAAAAACCCGAGACCTTTTACACACTCCGACTTAGCCGGAAGTGACGCCACAGCCCGCGCACAGGGCTTCCCGAGGGAGAGGCGAGCGGGAGGGGGATGTGCGGGGGCTGGGGGCGGGGCGCGGCCGTAGCTCCGTTTCCGGTGGCTCTTCGCACTCGCTCACTCCAGCTGCAGCCACTCTTGCCCGTGGCTGCTTCCTCCATCCTGGTATTTTTTGGAGCCTCCATCCTGGTTCTTCCAAAGTGCCCGGACCCAAAACAGGAAGTAAGTGCTATGGAACCTTCAGGTCCCAACCGCCGCCAGGACCGCTCCGCCCAGTGGAGCCTGTCCGGCCCCCTTACTGCCAACCTGCTCCCGCCAGCCGGCGCAAGCAGCCGGCGCAAGCAGCCGGCGCCTGGGCTCCGCGGGCGGGGTCGGAGCTGGGCCTTGGTGACGCTGAAGCCGCCGTCCCCGCACGCTCAGGCCAGGCCTCCCTCTCGGGGCCGGGCCTCCGGCGGTGGTTTAAGCTGCAGAGTAGGCTAACGGGCAGCGACTGAGGCACAGCGGCGATCCGGCGGGGGCGGAAAATGGCGGCGGCTTCGGAGGAGCTAAATGGCGCCAGGACCCCTGGGGGTGGGGTGGGCCGGTAGCTTCGCTAGAGAATTGGGCCCGGGAATGCAGAGATTAAGGAACCTCTATTTGTTTTCTCGTGGTGTTCCGTTTTTGTTTCTTTGTTACATTTTCGGTTTACCATGTGGCCTACTGTAGGAGAGGCGGGTTTGGGTAGGATTGAGAGAGTTGGGGCTGGTCTCGCCCCCGCCTTTTTTCTTTCACCCTGTTTGCGTCTTAAACTCTCCTCCCAGCTTTTCGGGTTCACTTGCTCAGCTCTCCTGGGTCAGGCAGAGGGAGTCGGGGTTGCTGGCCAAACTCTTGTCAGCCTGAGCCTCATAGTGGAGGGACCGGGCTGGAGTGCGGGGAAAGAGGCCGAGCCGCGCAGAGGACAGTAAGGCAAGTCTGCAGCATAGGAATTGTCATGTATTTTGCCGAGTTTCGAAGAAGTTTTTTAAAATTTTAATCTTATTTGTTCTCCTGAATAGACTGTTTTTGATAGTCTCTTCAGAGACCTAGGGTGTTTTAACCCAATCTCCGGCGTCGGTTTGAGAGAAGGGGCCAAGTGCAGTTCTATGCAGTTGAATGATACAGCACATGTTTTTGTAGTAATACTGAGTGTAGATAAGGAGAGGGTGATAATTCCATGAAGTGTAAGTCAGGGCTCCTTTCCCTTTCCCGCATTGGGTCTGGAAATTCAAGTACAGTGTGGTTGCTTTTCTCATAACTTGATTAATCGTGTGCCTCATTTCTGACAGGCGAGGCTCCTTGTGACATCGACAGAAATGCATCATCTGTTGGATTACTTTCTGATATGCAGTGTTTTATGCCTAGAATAATATTTTGAAATTTTACCTTTCACTAATTATACCTTTATTTTTAATTCATGAAAGACAATTAGCCATTTATAGCTTTCAAGCTCCAGTGCAAGAAAATATTCTTCCCATTGTGTTATAGTTTTACAAATAGAAAATTATTTCTTTTTCAGTTAGGGATTTTCATATATTTCCATTACTTCAGATTGAGTTAGTTTTAAATCTGCTTCAAATAACATTTTGAGTATTGATGCATTTTTTTTTATTAGTAGTAATTCAAGTTATTTATCAGCATTTGAACGTTTCTGGACTGTGGTGGTGATACACCAAAAAACTTAGCTTTTTACTATCGTGCTGTAGTATTGATAAGATTTCATTTATTAGGGTAGGATTTCAAAATTTAAGATTTAGGGAAAAGATTGAAAATTCATTCCTTCATGTTTCAAAAATTGTCAGGCTCTCTGAGTAACATTTGGTGTGAGTAGTTTTTTTCTTCATTCACACGGGTCAGAAAACAGGTTGAACCTCTGGAAAACATTACTTGTTATGAAGAAAAATACATTTCATGTTTTCTGACAATTTTATCTCATTATTTCAGTTCCCATATACTAACTGCTTTTGCATGCCACGAACAAGTGAATTTTTTTTTTTTTTACTATTTTAGTTGATAGGCTCACTCCAAAATAAGCATTATTTGAGACTGATCTAGAACCTGCATATTCTGCGTGAATCTCTAATTGATTCAGTTGAGCTAGATGGTGGAGCCAAAATGCTATTGCCCTGTCTTCATCAACAGTTACTGGGCTAATACATCCTTACTTAGAACTTTTAAGTGCATACTTTGAGCAGTTACATAAACAGGTTTCTCTGAGTGTTCAGGTTTTACAAGAATTTTGAGGGAAAGCAATAAAAAATTTTGGAGTTAGAATTTGAGCTTCGAAAGCAGAGCATGGCTGGGGAATGGTTATTCGTAGAGAATCAAAAGAAAGTAGATAGCCTCTTTTTTAAGTTCTCTTTTTACTAGTTTTGTTTTGTTTTTTTTAAAGAGCATAGAGAAAGGTTATGTCCTTTGTCTCGCAGGCATCAGGAGAGCTAAGTTAATTATAAGGTTAGTTGGATGTGTTTAGTTCGTACTGAAATGCAAACAAAGCTAGCCCTTATTTTCCCCACATAGTGCTTGTCTTTCTGTTCATTTATCTCTCCAGCATCTACAGACTAATTTTTATTGTTGTTGTAAATTTGTATGTCCTGAGAATAATATACCATTATTTAAACAGTTGCTTTTGTTTTGCTTCATTATGTTGGCTTAATTTAGCACCTGTGAGGATGAATAAGGTAATATGAAACAAGTGTCTCTAGGGATTGACAACCTTGCACACAGAGGTTAAAATATTGAGGGGGTTGCGAAGTGGTTTTGCAGGTATTGAGGTCCTAGATAATTTGTATTATTTATATCTATTGCAAAGACATGAAAACTTTAGAACACCCATTGTTTAGGAAGGGTACCACTTTTTAAATATATATAATATCTGCCTGTTTAACACTGAGGTGTTACCTGTCTTCTCAGAATGGAGTTTTCTTTTTTAATAGTTTTCTCTTACCACCATTATTTTTAGCACTTTGTTTTCCATAGAAAAGGATTCCCTAGGAATTGGTACTTCTAAATACTTCATGATTTCAGTACCAAAGCCTTTTCTATTCCCAAATGACGTAAAATGACCTGAGAAAGTGAACCTGTTGCTGGGAGTGTTAAATGTATAAAGTACAGATGTATGTGGCATTTGTTTTCTTAGCATTTGTCCCCCCTTTTTTTCCCATTTGCAAAGAGAATTCGTGTAATCACAAATAGGTATTTTGTTTTTGCTTTGATTACATAAAGGTAAATGATAATATGAATAAAAAAAGGAAACTTTTTATTGTGTTTCAGCCTTGTGGAAAGGTACCCCATTCCATTACTGAGTAACAAGAAGTTGTCAGGGATAAGCACACTGGAGAGCTCATTATAAATGATTTAATTTTCTTTTTTAATGTTTACTCCCTTTTTTTTTAAGCTGTCATTTTGGTTTTGTACATTATTAGTAACTTTTGAGGAAGTGTGCTTCAAAAATCAATTTAAGTGTAAATAAGGATTAGAATAATTTGATCTATTTCCCTTAAAGATTTTCTAATGGTGCCTTGCATAGTGTTCCATTTTGAATGGATGAAATCTTAAGATGTAGCCCAATATACATTATAAGCTCTTAAATTATGCACTGGCTGAAGAAAAACAATCTTTTTAATAAGCAATACTATTTTATTGCCAAACCAGGTATGAAATGCTGTACCTGTATTTACTACCAAGTTTATCTCCTTACTCTAATGATAATGTTCTCAATAGTTGGTAATTGAATTAGCATCTCAGGCAATTAAAGTGTGTTAAAATAAACTTCATGAACATATTTATTGACATTTTATGGCATATAGTCATATTTTACTGTCTTAAAACCAAGCCATAATGAACATTAGTTACCTTAATTCACTCAAACTTTTCCACAAAGTATACAGAAGAGCTAATAATCCCCAGGAGCCATTAGACCATAGTACAAAGCACTCAATCTCAAGTGTGAAGTGTCCCCATTCTTACCATAAATAAAATCAATATTCTCTGGCTTTGTCTGTTTTCTGATGAATTCCTTCACCTATTCTCTTCCATGAAGACTTTATATTTAGCAAAGAGTTATCATTCTTTCCAAAATAAAAATCTTAAAAACATCTTTCAATTATACATTACTAAGCAAATCCTCTTGTAAGCATTTTTTAGAGCTTTACTTACATGTAATGTAGGTATGGGGGTAGTCAAATATGGAGGCCGTCCTTTATAGTAGCATGGCCTCAAAAAAAAATACAGTAATTGGTTCATGGTTAGATTGATTTAGATACTGTGTTTCCATTAAAAATGCTGCAGAAGAATAGTAATGTTAGGAAGATGCTCCTAATTATGTAAGTGCAAAAAAAGTTGTAAAATATATGTGACTGTTTGGAAGGTCATGGTAAAAAAAGAATGTGAGTAATACTGTTTTCCATACCATGTAGTCTCATCCCATCTTTCAATGTAGAATCAACTCCAGGCATCTGGGTTCAGCAACTGTTAGCTCCTGTGCTTTCTCATGATCTTAACTAATAGAATCTACCCTTACTAGTACTGTGCTTGGGAACTGATAAAATTTATCAAAAAACTATTTCCAAAACTAGGAAGAAATGCCACTTTCCTTGGTTCTAGTTTTGGGAAGATACTTGACATTTAATTGCCCAGAAAGTCGGGACAGTTATGTAGAGGAAATTAATGGAAATACCAGTCTAGAGTAAGATCCATTGAACAAAAATTTTGCAGTAATACTGGAATGGAGTAGGGTGAAGGACTCATTTCTTTAATTAAAGTATGTTAAATAACAGAGGAGTAGTTTTTGTGGTACATTAGTGTCATACTATCATTGGGAGCTATAAATAAAAACCTCGTTTAAATGTGAATAAGTATTATATTGAACATTATACATGGTTTGTACCACATTTCAGGTGGTATTTTCTTGATTTTATTAGGGTATTTTTGCTCTTTAAGATAGACACCAAATGATGGAAACGTGCCAAAATCCCATTTCACCAGTTGAAATGGCTGTTAAAATTTATCTTCTTGTATCTTCTCATTTCTAGTTAGTGTAAAAATAGTGTATATGGTAAAACCATTACGGGGAAAGAAAATATAAATAGGCCGGTGGTATGCATTTATATGCCCCAAAGAGGACGAGAAAGTTGATGGTAGAATTGGAGGTTTCCTGATATATGTATCTCATGAACCAAATGTGAACTGGTTAAGCATAGTGTACA